GAACAGGAAGATACTAGTTAAAGGATGCTAAATTATAGCTAGATGGAACAAATACATTCTAGTGTTTTGTAGCACTGTAGGATGACTCAAGTTAATGTATCACTTCAAATAGCTAGAAAGCAGATATTGAATGTTCCCAACACAAAGAAATGATAAGTATCTGAGATGATAGATATGCTAAATTACCCTGATTTGATCACTATATATTATATGCATCCAAACATCACTCTGTATATCATAAATATAATAATTATGTCAATTTAAAAAATTAAAAATTAGGCCTCTTCCATTTGCAGGGGTTGACCTATTCCTTCTCTGGAATGTACTAAAAAAAGAGGGAGAGAAAAGAAAAAGAATTTAAAAAGAAGGAAATATAACATAAAATCAGGACAGTGCTCACCTTAGGTACAGGTCAGTGGGATGAGGCAGGAGAGAAGTAAATAGAAGTCACTGTCAATGTCCAAGGTCCTCGGTTAGACAATGGGTGCATGGATATTTATTATTTCTAAGAATGAATGAATAATGAGGAAAGAAAGAGTACATGTACAAAGATCAGTTAGAAGCCATGCCAGCAGTTCAGAAAAAAGATGGAGATGATCTGGGATGCAGCACTGGGATGGAGAGAAACACACAGACTTGAAAGAGATTCAAGAGGTAGAAATGACAGAACTTGGTAAAGGATATGGGGACTGAGAAGGGAGAGTTATAAATAATTCTCAGGTCAGGTTTAAGGTCCTAGGTGGATAGTGGAGCCACCTAAGGAGAAAGAAAACCACTAGTTTATGATGCACTCCATGAAACTTAGCGAACACTGTGTGTTGAGAAATAGAGTAAGAGATGTGAGAAGTTTCAGGGGTTTTGCAGGTCTTTGCCTTGAAGGAATTTGGCAAAGACTTGAAAACCCCTGAAACTTCTCACGTCACTTAGTCTATTTCCCAACAACTGTGTGCCTCCCTCATACCTAGTCCACCATCCATCCCCCACTATGTGTCACCATGTGGTCAAGGTATAAACAAAACTACTCTGCTCCAGAGGCACATATTCTGGAGCATAACACCTATACATGCCTGGCCCAAGTGCACAGTTCTGAAGGAAAACTCAGGTACTTCTGTTTGGTGTTGAAAGAAGTCAACTCTCTCCCCTTACCTCACCTTGAAAGAGGAAGCATTCAGTAGCTGCTAGCAGGCATTTGTGAAGTCAGCCTAAGGATGAAGCTGATACAGGAGGAGAGCAAAGCCAAGATCACTAAAAGAAATGAAGCCACGCAACCAAGATCAAGGGTTGGCCTGCCTCTGGATCCCTCATTTATGTGAGCCTATACCCCTGTTATTGTAAAAGCCCAGTAGGCTTTCAATTTCTTACAACTAAACACAATGAACAAAGGCTGGAAACAGAAAGGGAGTTTTTAAGCAACAAACCTTAAAATGTGAAACTGGCTCAACTGCAGAAAAGTAAGGAAGACCTCATCTCCTTCATGCTGGGAATGTGGATATCCTTATTATATTGGTTAGAGTACCTTCTGTTGTACCGGTATACCAGACCATGGGACTACCAATACTACCATACTAGAGGACTTGAGAGGAAAAAATAATGCAGCTATCAGAATGTTTTCACTCCTCCTTCTGGCTCTCACTAAGGTCCTACACACATATGTTTGTAATATTGGTCTCTGTACTTCTCAATGTTTTTAATTATCAAAATATAAAGTATTCAGAACTCTCAGTATTAAAAAAATTAAATCCTAAAAAAATATTGACTTAAAGAAAAGTCTCAGATCCTATTTGCTCCTGACTGCTGTTTTAGTCTTATAATCCATTATAATAATCAGAAACTACCTGGCCAAAAACACTGACTATAAATTTGGAGATGAGAAGTTATGATTAAACAATTTTTGCATTCAAATTCTAACCTTTAGGAATCATGAAATATAAAGCCTGAAGGCTCAATTAAAATAAATAACTAGGTATTCTATGTGTGAAAGGAACTCTCCAACCTAAGTAATAATGTGGCCAATCAATAAAAAGACTAATATTTTAAGTATTTAACAAAATGCTCTTACATGCTTAATGTTTGGCCATGAAAAATTTAAAAAATGCTCTGATTTTCAAGAAATTATGATAACCAGGTCTCTTTCTTTTTTCTAGTACATGAAGGCCAATTTTAAACTTCTGGATAGCTAAACAAACCCTTATAAAGATTTCAAGGTTAGTAAAGATGTGATAATTTATTCTGATACCATGGTCAAAGTTTTAAACATATTGACTTGAAAATTACCCAATCACCACTGACATACTACATTCTTTACTCTTCTCTTTTCGTACTGGCTAGTTCTTTTTAGTGTGCTTTTCTACTCATCTGCCTTCATCTGATTCACTGTCCATTCACTCTTTTTTTGTTTCTCTCTGTACGTGTCTAGCTTCCTCTGAATGTGTCCCAGGATATCTTTGTACCTTCTGCTCCTAAGTTTGGTCTTCCCATTCTCTCTTCTGCTACCTTTTCACTCTTCCTTCCCATCCCTTTTTTAGCCTTTATGCTATGGTCTAAATGTTTGTGTTCCCCTAAAATTCACATTGAAATCTTAACCCCCAAAATGATGGTGTTAGGAGGTGGGGCCTTTGGGAGGCAATTAGGTCATGAAGACAGAGTCCTCATGAATGGGATTAGTGCCCTTATAGAAGAGTTTCCAGAAAGACCTCTTACCCCTTCTGCCGTGTGGGGACACAGCAAGAAGGTGGTGTCTATAAGCCAGAAAGCAGGCCTTTCCCCAGACACGTCTGCCTTGATTTTGGAGTTCCCAGCCTTAAGGACTGTAAGAAACAAATTTCTGTTGTTTATAAGTTATCTAGTTTCTGGTATTTGTTATAGCAGGCCAAACGGAACTAAGACATCATAGTATTTAACTTATTTAGTATGATTATGGAGTCAAAGTTTTTAACCTCTGCTTTATCATTTTTAAACAGTAAGATAATTTTTATTTCTGACTTTTATTTTATTTATTTATTTTTTTTTTTGAGACAGAGTCTCGCTTTGTTGCCCAGGCTAGAGTGAGTGCCGTAGCATCAGCCTAGCTCACAGCAACTTCAAACTCCTGGGCTCAAGCGATCCTCCTGCCTCAGCCTCCCGAGTAGCTGGGACTACAGGCATGCGCCGCCATGCCCAGCTAATTTTTTTTCTATATATATTAGTTGCCCAATTAATTTCTTTTTATTTATAGTAGAGATGGGGTCTTGCTCAGGCTGGTTTCGAACTCCTGACCTCGAGCAATCCGCCTGCCTCGGCCTCCCAGAGTGCTAGGATTACAGGCGTGAGCCACCGCGCCCGGCCTATTTCTGACTTTTAAAAAATTGTTTCTTGAATTAATTCTTATTGTGTGACCCTCAAATTTATTTACTCAGTGGGTCAGTGTCATAATAAGAGATGCTTACTTACCACAGAATAATAATTTTCACTAAGGTCTTTGAATCAAAAAGCCAATCCTTGGACAGAATAAAATTAACCTTATGAAGTCACTAATCTAAGTTACTAAAAGATGGCATTAGAATTCTGGTACTTATGTCTCTTATACACTCTTTTTAAAATTTATTTTTTATTTTTTTATTATGGGTAAATAATAGCTGTTTTTCTTTATAGGGTACATGTGATGTTTTGATATAAGCATACCATGTGAATTAATCAAATCAGGGTAACTGGGGTATCCATCATCTCAGGCATTTAACATTTCTTTGTGTTAGGAACATTCCAATTTCACTCTTTTATTTTAAAGTATACTCTAACTTATTGTTGAGTCGTGTTTACTCTTATTTCAAAAATTCAAATTTCTGGGCCAGGTGTGGTGGTTCACACCAGTAACCTCAGCACTTTGAGAAGCTGAGTCAAGAAGCTCCTTTGAGGCCAGGAGTTTGAGACTAGACTGGGTAACATGGTGAGAATCCACCATACTCAGCTAAAATAAAATTAGCTGAGTATGGCGGCATGTGCCTGTAGTCCCAGCTACCAGGGAGGCTGAGGCAGAAGGATAGCTCAAGCCTAGTTCAAGACCAGCCTGAGCAACATAATGAGACCTGGTCTAAAAATATATATAAGTCAATAAATTCAAATATCTTTAAATAAGTTTCTATTAAATGGATATAATATCTAACTTGATAACAGCTTATTAAAATATTATAAATTTAGTGAGTGCCTAAATTATGACTTGTCTTTGACACTTTCATAGTCTTACCACAAATTCACAGAATCCTCACAATTATGAGATATATAATAGCATTTTATAAATACATGAACTCAAAGTAGGTCTACAGAGAGAAAAAATGAAGCTGAGACAATTAACCCATTCAAATTAGATGACCAATACTATAGCAGGTATCAGAAATCTGAACTCTTGGTTCCTAGAGTATAACCATTAATCTCTGTTCTTCTGCAATCATATATCAATTCTTTACAATTTATTTTTTGTTTTGTTTTTTATAATATCAACTTAATTCTCTATAAATATAAATAAAGCACATCATTTGCTTTAATTTTGAGTATATTTCAATAGTTTTCTTCTCTTGTTGTAATTATTTAATGAAGACAATGCTCTGCATTAAAATTTTAAATAGGTTCTTAGACACAAATAAAGAGAAAATAAGATACTATAGTCTATAAGGACATTTGATGTTACAGAGTGAAGAAAGATTAGTCTTAAGAGTTGAACAGAAAACCCCATAATAAAATTCAAAACTCAGCTGAGTTTTGCTGCATAGGTAATAGCTATATTAAGGTACCTAAAATTTTACCAAACAATACATCTCAAGTGTTGTGATACTCCATAATATTATGAATTTAATATATGACATACCCCAGGAGAGTAAGTCACTGTTAAACAGTCTCTAGAAGGGACTTACACTGAATAATTTCCCTTTTAACTGTGATTCTAAGTTGACAATCCTTAGCAAGGCATTGTAGAAGAATGATTAAGAGACCGGCATTCCTAAAATAAAGTAAGCATGTAAAATACTAGCCTGTCATATGCAGCAATCATAAAGTTGAGGAGGAGGCTAATAGACTGTTCCACACTGATTTGGTGAGTAGAAGGAAGGCGCTTGTTCAACTGATAGTAGATGGATGAGATGACAGTTTCCAGGCGGGATACACTGATCTCGGTAGTATGGTCCAGTGTATTAAGGCCATTGTCTCGGAAGGCTTCAATCATGTTCCAGATATCAACAAGATGAACTAAGAGACAAAGAAAATAAACTTTCAACAATTTTAAAGCATGGTACCACCTTCACAATTAGACACTTGAATTTATCAATTAATTTTTAAGTTTAAAGAAAAAAACTCTTTAGCTGACAATGAGAAAAACATTCTGTGGTAAAATAAAGAACATTAGTCCCAGACCACATCAAGGAGCCACCGCAACAGTCCGGGACTGACTACCTCCACAGTTCATATTTATTTATTTATTTTTTTTTTGGTTTAAAGGCTGGTTTATACAGTTCATATTTAAACAACTAGTATTTCAGGTCTATGTTAATAGTGACCTATGCAATTCCTAATGACAGGTAATCAGAAAAAAAAGAAAAACTACTGATAAACACTTCTAGCCTTTTTAGAGATTTGCTACATCATCTTTTGTTACTTCAGCCTACAAACTTCAGCAACATTTAACTCAAATTTATCTGTCTGTGGCCCTAAAGAGAAAAAAATACAACTGCATTAAGTGAACCACTATTTTCCAGTAATAAGGTAGGCTAGGTACCTAGGTCTAATCTTCTCTCGAAAATAATTAAAATTCCTGGATGTAACATAACAACATCTTCTTTATTGCACTGGTGACTCATGAAAAAAATAAACAATATTCAACCAGACAGAAAAGAGACATTTCCTTGAAAGAAAAACAGTAAGATGACATTTGACTTCAAGCAACAAAGGAAGCAGAAGACTGAAAAATAATTTTAATGTGCTAAAAAGAAATTACCACTAATTTTAAATTCTATACTGACAGAAAAAAACTTTCAAGAAAAAGGTATCAATAAAAATTTTCAAATAAACAAAATCTGAAAGTATACTTTCCAACACTAAAGAACTGGGGGGGAGGAATTGAAATGAAAAGAGAACTGATCAATCCAAAAGAAGGTGGAGAAACACCGAACATGTAGGACAAAAGGAAAGCATAAAATAAGATGGCTGGTATGTATCCAAATATAACAGTAATTGCAATAAATATAAATACACTAATGTACCACTTAAAAGACACAAGACTGGGCCAGGCGTGGTGGCTCGTGCCTGTAATCCCAGCACTTTGTGAGGCTGACGTGGGAGGCTCACATGAGGCCAGAAGGTTGAGACCAGCCTGGATAACATAGTGAGACCTCATCTCTACAAAAAGTAAAAAACTTAGCCAGGTGTGACAGCACGTGTCTCAGCTACTTGGGATGACAACTTCTAACCAAAAGAAAACTGATGTAACTATTTATAAAACACAAAAAAATGGACTTGGAAAACCACATGATCATCTCAACAGACACAGAAACAGCATTTGACAAAATCCAACACACTTTCATAATAAAAACACAACAAACTAAGACTAGAAGGAAACTTCCTCAACCTGATAAAGGGCATCTACAAAAAAATCCCACAGTTAACGTTACACTTAATAGGGAAAGACTGAAAGCTCTCACCCCAATATCAGGTACAAGACACCCTAAAGTATAAGCAACCAAAGAAGAAATAGATAACATTGCACTTTATTTGAATTAAAAACCTCTGTGCATCAAAGGATTCTATCAAGAAAGTGATAACGCAACCTAAAGAATAGAAAAAACATATGCAAACCACATATTCATTAAGGGTCTACGATCCAGAATATATAAAAACTCTTACAATTTAACCAAAAACCTAAAAGACAATTCAACTAAAAAATGGGCAACTAATTTAACTAGGCATTTCTCCAAAGATATACAAATGGGCAACAAGCACATGAAAAGATGCTCAACATCATTAGTTATTAGGAAAATGCAAACGAAAACTACAATGAGATACTTCGCATCCACTAGAATGGCTATCGTTTTTTTAAAATGGAAAATAACAAGTGTCAGTGAGGACAGAGAGTACCTGAAACTCTCATATATTGCTGATGCAAATGTAAAAATCATGCAGCCACTTTGAAAAACAGCTTAGCCATTCCTCAAAAAGTTAAACATAGGCTTACTATATGACCCAGCAATTCTATTCCTAGAGAATTGAAAACATATGTTCATACAAAAACTTGCAGACAAATGTTCATAGCTGCATTACTCATAATAGCCAAATGTCAAACAACCCAAATGTCCATCAACTGATGAATGGGTAAACAAAATATAATGTATGCATACAATGGAATATTCACTCATAAAAAGGAAGTACTGATACTTTCCACAATGTAGATAAACCTTGAAAACATTATGCTAAGTAAAAGATACCAGACAGTAAAGACCATATATTGTATGATTCCATTTATATGAAATGTTCATAAGAGGTAAATCGATTAAAAAAGTAAATTAGTAGTTGCAAGGAGGTAAGGGATGAGGGTAATGGGAGGAACTGCTAATGGGTATGGCTTCTTCCTACGGTGATGAAAATGTTCTAAAATTAGATAGTCATGACAGTTGTACAACTCTGTGAAAATACTAAAAACCACTGAACTGTATACTTTAAAATGGTGAATTTTATAGTATATGATTTATATATATATCTATTTTAAAATGGTAGGACAAAATATATGGCTAAATATTAATATAAAAAGAATCACTGCATAATGATAAAAGTTTTCATATAAGAAAGATTTAAGAATTTTACATTTATTTACATCTAACAGAAGAGCCTCAATACATATAAAATAAAGATAAACAGAACCTCAAAGAGACATAAACAAATTCACAAACTTAGTGAGAGATATTAACATACCTCTCTTAGTAAGTGATAGCACAAACATACACAAAATACAAGTATGGATACAGACAATGAAAATTCACAAATAACACAGAAGACATGATGAGCACTGTGTGGAGTACAGCACCCAATGACTAGAGAATATGTATATCCTGAACCATAAAGCACAACTCAATAAATTTCAAAGGATGAAAATTATATGAACCATGCTCTCTGATCAAAATTAAGTTATTAAATTATCAAAAAGAACTTTTAAAAGAAATGTTATCTTTAGAAATAATGAAACACACTACTAGGGAACTTTCTTAATCAGATTAAGGCTGTTATGGTTTGAATATCTGTCCCTTCGATAACTCATGTTGAAATTTAATCCCCAATGTGGCAGTATTGAGAGGTAGGACCTTTAGAAGATGACCAGGTCATTCATAGATTAATGAATTAATGGGTTATCATAGGAGTGGGACTGGTGACTTTGTAAGAAGAGGAAGAGAGGCCTAAGCTAGTATACTCAGCCCCCTCGCCAAGTGATGCCCTGCGCCACTTTGAGATTCTGCAGAGAGTCCACACCAGAAGGCCCTCACCACATATAGACCCTTCCCCTTGAACATCTCAGCCTCTAAAAGAAATAAATTCCTTTTCTTTATAAATTACCTGGTTTCAGGTATTCTGTTATAAGCAAAAGAAAACAAACTAAAATGAAAGCTATCTACAAAGAACCTCCAGCAAACATATTACTTAATAGTAACATGTTGAAAGTCTTCTCTCTGATAATGGGAATGAGATGAGGAAGGCACACTATCATAACTTCTATTGTACCTGAAGCCAGACCAATATAAACATACAGGATAAACTCATAATCAATATAAGTATTGGAAATGAATATTAATAAATATAAATGTCATTATTCAGAAATGACAAAACTATACACACAGAAAATCATAAAGACTCTACAGATAAATTATCATTATATATGAGCTTAGAGCAATTGCTAGAAACAAGTTCAAAATATAAAAAGGCGGGTATATACATACATAATGAGTGAGATGTGCACCATCTGGGGGATGATCATGATGGAGACTCAGACTTTTGGGAGGAGGGGGGGAAATGGGCATTTATTGAAACCTTAAAATCTGTACCCCCATAATATGCCAAAATAAAAATATATATGTATATATAAATCACTATTTCTATACAAGAGTAACATACAATGAAATTTTAAAATACTGTGTAAAATAGTATCATAAGTTAATCAAACACCTAGTAATAAACTCAATGAAGGATGTGTGCAACATCTTTACAAATAAAGTTGTAAGTATAATTGGCAGAAATTAAAAACCTAAACAAATGTAGGAATGCATATATCATGTTCACAAGAGTAAATCTGAGTATTGGAAATATGTCAGTTCTCCCCAACTTGATCTACAGATGCAATATAATCCAAATCAAAATTCCAGTATGACTGTACATTAAAAGGGTGAATTCCACTATATGGAAACTATACTTGAAAAAAGAAATAAAGAAAAAATCCCAGCAGAGTTCTTTTTTTATTTTGTTTTTAGTAGAAATTGACAAGCAGATTCTAAAATTTATATGAAAATAAATGTAAAAGGCCAAGAATATCCCAGAGAATCTCAAAAAGAAAAACAGAACAAAGTAGTAAGGCCTGTTCTACCCAATATCAAGATTTACTAAGCTTTAACAGTGTTTATTGGTATAAGAAAGAGTGTGGTATTAGAGCAGTGTGTTATTGGTACAAGGACGACCATTGGAACACAAGAGGGTCAAAAAGTATAACTTCTCATGTATGGACATTGCTATGAACATTCTTGTACATTTCTCCAAATGAATATGAGAAGAGTCTTTAGCAGTGAAGAAAAAGAATGTCCTTTTCAATAAACAGTGAAGAGACAACTGAACACACATATAGAAAAACTTGAAATCTGACTCCTACTTACACTGTACACTCACAATCAAAAAAATTTCAGGTGGACTATAAATCATATGTGAAAATAAAATAAAACCTTTATTTTTTTTTTAACCAGAACATGTGGAAAAACCTTTAGAACAATAGATCTTCTATTTTATTAATATATCACTAATGCCACTAGCCTAGTTCAGTCTCTCAACACTCCACACATAGACTACTATTTCTCAAGAATAATTATGAGAAAAAGTATAAATATGAGAGTTGTTCTAAGGTACTGGTTTTCAAGCTTGTTGACCACAACCCACAGAAATACATTTAAATCATCATACATCCAAACAAATACACACTCCTAGATATATCAAAAACAAAAGTTTCATAAAATACTTTTTAGCCTTATCACATAGATATATAAAAAAAGTTTCATGAAACACTTTTTATCCTTAGATATATAAAAAACAAAATAGATACATAAAAACCAAAAGTTTCACAAATCACTTTTTAGCCTTACCACATAAGTTGCATTCTAATATTTTCTTTTTCTTTTTTTCTTTTCCATTACATGTTTTAAATCTGGCTACAGCCCACCAAAACGATTTTGTGAAGCATTTAATGGGAAAGCATCAATCTGAAAAAATGATACTTTGGAAACCACTGAAGAAAGAAACATGACTTCAATCTAGGATGGCATGATAAACTCTTTGGAGAGAATTTTATGCTAGGATTTGTAAGACTTAAAGTAAGGTAGAAGTTACCAGATATAAAGTGACTTGCCCAAGGTCACTTGATTATAATAAGTAGCAAAGCCAGGTCTAAAACTGTGGTTTTTCAATTCTAAGGTTATAATATTCTTGGAACTCAAAGTTCTGTTAAACTTAAAACAGTTTTTCATTAGTACACACACCCACACACACACACAAAGTATAATAAATCTGTCATAAATTAATCTTCATGTACATCTATTTGTACATATAAATATACATATATACACCCACACAATGCTTTATTTTATAATCCACGTGGTAGCAATTACTTATAGAAGAAGTTGATTCATGTTATATTATGCTTAATCAAGAAAACCAATTCTTATTATACCTTTATCAAAAATATTAATGTTTTTCTTTTCCTCCAGAAGCTGATAAATTATATTAACTTTGTATAAAACATTTCCTTAATAAAAGTGACAGAGAAAAATCAATTCTCCCATTTAAATAATATTAATACTATGCCTGCTTCAAAACTAGTTACATTATTGAGTTTGTTAAAAATTTTGAGAGACAAAAGAGTAAAATGACAAGTTCTTTCCATTGCAAAGCTTACATTCTGATAAATACTTGAAACAAAAACAATTCAATTAACATTACAATATATGGCTCATGCCTGTAATCCTAGCACTCTGGGAGGCCCAGGCGGGGCGGACTGCTTGAGGTGAGGAGTTTGAAACCAGCCTGAGGTAGACCCCATCTCTACTAAAAATAGAAAGAAATTAATTGACCAACTAAAAATATATACAAAAATTAGCTGGGCATGGTGGCACATGCCTGTAGTCCCAGCTACTCAGGAGGCTGAGGCAGCAGGATCGCATGAGCCCAGGAGTTTGAGGTTGCTGTGAGCTAGGCTGCATGGTACTCACTCTAGCCTGGGCAACAAAGTGAGGCTCTGTCTCAAAAAAAAAAAAAAAAAAAAATTACAATATAATTGAAAGGTATTAAAATCTTTCATTTGATAATACTGAGAACTCTATCCAACTATCACAGAAATGAGTAGAAATCACTTACGGTTGCATCGTTTTTGCACAAATCGTAATTTGCAAGCTGTTCTGTAAGTTGATAGTCTTATGACATCAAAATTCTGAGCACCTGAAAAAAGCACAAATAAAAATTCTCAACTGGGTTTACCATCTAGTTTCTAAATGCTAGAAAGTGACTCCATTCCACTGCTTTGTCACAGTATACAACATGTCAACTAGGCTTTCCTCTGATAAAACAAAAATAGAGGGTCAATTAAAAAAATTTTTTTAAATGGAGGGAAGAAGAGTTAGGAAACTCCTGCATGCATGCCCCACTGCACAATAGCACTCTGCTGTCACTTTTGCCCATACTATCCTGTTAGCTAGTCTGAGAAAACCTGAGGTAGGAACACTCATGAACACTCATGATGAACTACATACTGGTCAGGGGCCTGTTAGGGACCTGACCACAGAGCTCCATCCCCCCTACCATCTGTGGAAAAATTGTCTTCTATGAAACTTAGGAACCTAGGATGCCCACACAGCACGAGGTGAGCACCGCAGAGGCAAGCGAAGCTTCATCTGTATTTACAGCCGCTCCCAACTACTAGCATCACCGCCTGAGCTCCGCCTTCCTGCCCTCCACTCCCCACAAGCTGTGGAAAAATTGTCTTCCATGAAACCAGTCCCTGGTGCCAAAAAGGTTGGGGACCACTGAACTACATGATTAGGAAAGGGGAGTGGTTGGTATTGTAGGGAACACCCTAGCCTAGAGTCAGAAAAACTACATTCCAGTCCCAGCCTGACCACCAACCAGAGAATACAACTATGGCCATGCTGCCATTTCTGCACAGCCTCAGTCTTCTCATCTATAAAATGAGGGAACTGACCGGCTGCCTCTAAGGTCCCCATCCAGGTCTGTGGCAGCCTGTATTCTAAAAATGGCCAGAGTGACATTTTCAGAGCAGTACTGCATGTGTTTCTAGTACATTATTCCTCTGTATCAAGAACTAGAGATTATTTCCCTCCACTTGAATATGACTGGGACATTGTGACAACCTTAACGCATAGAATACCACAGAAGGCACAGTGTACAACTTCTGAAGACAGATAATAGAAGATGGTACAGCTTGCCTTGCTCTTGGCTCTTCCAGGATGCTTGCTGTGGAAACTACATGCCATATTGTGAGAAAGCCAGACTAGCTAGAGAGGCCACAGACAGAGTCTACCAACCAAAAGACAGCACCCATTGCCAAACACACACATGAGCACACCTTCAAATGATCCTGATTCAAGCCGTGGGCCTCTGAGTCTTCAAGAACTCAGACATCATGAGCAAAGTCAAGATATTAGCACCAGTTGCTATGTTAAGTCCATACCCACAAAATGCATAAACAAAATAAATGATTGTTTAGGGGTAAGTGATATACAGCCATAGTAAATAGACCAAAGCCTAAAATTACATGAGTCTATAAATCACACCTTGTTTTCATTTCAAAATTTGCTGCAAATGAAGTCTCCTTAAATTTTAAGGCCACTTTAGATAGGTCTGGCACCTATTATGAGTTTTTTATTTCATCTATCCATTATAAGATCTGGCAACAACGTTTTACTCAATAAGGGGAAAGTGATCTGGCACAAATTTTCTTCTACCAATATTTACAGGCATCTCTCATTTGTGTTCATTTCATGGTAAAGAGGGGCAGCAGGGGGTTGGGGGTAGGAGGAATTTTTCCAGGTTTTTGGTGAAAGCAATATTTATTAACCAAAAAGTGAATAGGTCTGTTAAGCTCTCTTCAATCGACCTTCATCTTAATCTCAGGAATAAAATTATTTCCTCCATCATCTGGCTTTTGATTATATATAGTATAATCAAATCCCAAGGAAATCAAAGAGACAAATGGAAGGATTTCTTTGTACCTCCTTACATCAGAAGCTTAAAATTCTATGAGAAACACCACTCTATCAACAAAGGAAAACCTTGAGAACTGCACTGAGCCACTTGTTAAAAGCCACTCTCAAAAAAAAAAATAAATAAATAAATATAAAAAGTAAAAAAAAAATTAAAAAAAAGCCACTCTCATAAAACTCCGCAATTATTTCTAACACATTTATTTGAGATATCGCCCTGAAGCTGATTCCCACTAACAGCTTCGTATATTTTGTGTAACTATACTTCCACTAAGGAGGATGCAGTTCTATTTATTAAAATGTTGAAGAAAAATGCAATCTCAGATGAGATTTTATTGCACAGCAAACACCATCTTAGATTTCAGGACAGGAGAACAGTTCTATGCAAATGACAAATGTGGAAGCCAGATCAACTTCCAAATCTTTTTATAAGTAAGGAGATATAAATAATAAATATGAGATAAGTAATAGCCAATATGGCATGTGTGTGGCAATAGGAGAAGGCAGAAGGATATGAAGCTAAATCTGCTGAGTACAATCACAGTGGAAGACTATGATGTCATTCTAAGAGTTAATTAATATCACGTGATCATAAGTATTGCCTGGGCACAATATTAAAATATAGAATTCCAGGCCCCACTCCAGATCTACTTGCTAAATCAAAATTTCTAGACAGAAATCTTTTTTTTTTTTTGAGACAGAGTCTTGCTCTCTTGCCCTGGCTCATCACCATAGCTCACTGCTGCAACCTCAAACTCGTGGGCTCAAGGAATCCTCCTGCCTCAGCCTCCCCAGTAGGTGGGACTACAGGCATGTGCCACCACACCTGGCTAATTTTTTTCTATTTCTAGTAGAGATGGGGTCTTGCTCTTGCTCAGGCTGGTCTCAAACTCCTGACCTCAAGTGATCCTCCTGCCTCAGCCTCCCAGAGTGCTAGGATTACAGGCGTGAGCCACCACACCTGGCCTTGACTCTTTATTTTTAACACGTGCCCCAAGAGACTTTTATAATCAAGCCAGGTTGAGGAAATGCAAGATTTCCCCGCTCAACTAAAAAGTCTGGCTCAGATTTCATCTCATACTCAACTCCAATCAGTCTGGAGTACATATAATTACCCAAATGGGCCAAGCTCACTTATCTCCAGGCCCCTATGAGTACTACTATCCCAACACTCCCTTCACAGGTCATCAGGCTGACTCAGCCTGGACATCACTTCTCCCAGACCCATCCTGGACCCCTGTGTCCTCCCCTTTATAGCTTCTACTATCCCATCATTCCTTGTTTCCATTTCCAGGAAACTAAGTTCCATGAAGGCAGAGGCCATTTTTTGTTGCTGTTGTTCACTATGATATGCCTAAAACTAAGACATAATAAAACTAGCAGTTGAAATATTTACTGAATGAATGAATAAATAAGTGAAAATTATCAAGTTCTGTGTTCCTTGTACAAAAAACTCTGATCCACTTTCCCTCAAAAATATGCCAAGCCAACAGATTAAACTAACTATAGTATATAATTTTGGACACTGGCAAAGACAAGCTGATAGAGAGAGATAATAAAAATAGTGGTGAAGCCACTTCTTTTCCCTGTGTACAACATGTCCATGCTTTTAGCCTCCTTCAGGTAGGACACAGGATTCCAAACTGTGTTCCAGGGAGAGGTCCTCAATAAACCAATGGAAGATGTAACGAAGTAAGTGTATTTTGTTAAAAAGCAATGTAAATGGGGAGAAGGATGAGGAAGAGAAAAAGAAGGAAAAGGGAGATAAGGTTACACATTTAGTAGATGTAAGTATAATAGCATTCTGAATTGCCTGAAAACTCTTACAAGCATTTCTAATAAGAAAAATGTTTTTTTCAAAAGAATATTAGTCCAAATAAGTAACATAAATGACTTTCTTATTTTTTTCTTGACAGTAGGAATAAAAACCCTGAGGAACAGAGATGAAGCCAGAGATCCCATCAGAGAGGAAGGTACAAGCCAAGACCACTGAAGGATGACTACCTCAGTGGGTAAACTAGGAAAAGCAGAGAAAATATTCCAACAAAGGGAAATGGCGGGACATGTGCCCTGGCTCCACCTAGATTTAGATTAAACTTATCTAGATTTAACAGAAAAAAAATAATGGCAAGCAAAGAGAGTGATAACTGAATGGACTGGATTACATGAAAATTGATTATACAAAATAGCAAAATCTAATTTGTGAAGTTAAAAAAGATAACACTAAAAATAGGATATATTTCATAAAGGAGGTACTCTAAAACAGACTAATATTCTTGTATTATTTGAACAAAGTTATAAATATTGATACACTTTAAACTTCATTTTAATTGATGTTAGTATTTCTACATTAACCACAAAAAGAACAGAAAAAGTATACATGCAATTCATAGCCAAGTAGAGGGAAAGAGTGGAAGGGAAAGAAAGCTCAATTCATCTATGCGAACACAAGAAAGAAGAAAAAAAACAAAGGACAAAATTGGAGCACAAAATAAAATGGAAAAAATGAAATATCTGTATTTGTAAAAAAAAAAAAAAAGTTAAGCAGTATAAATTCTTCAGTGACAAGGCAGATTGTCAGATTTAAAAAAAATAATCTAACTTATGCTGTTTATAGGAGACACAAAATAAAACATAAGAATTCAAAAAAATGTAAAGGAAAAGAATAAAAAGATATATACTGTACTATGTATGCTAACCAAAAGAAAGCTAGCAAAGCTTTATTAACATACAACAAAATGGACTTCAAAGCAAAAAAAGCATTACTAGAAAAAGAGAGTAACCATATAATGACAAAAGATTCACTTCCCTAGGCACACATAACATTTTAAAGGTACATGCATCTAAGAACTAAAGCTTCAAAACCTGACTAAACTATACATAAGGAGAAATTTTTAAATCTACGATCAAAGCAGAGATTTTTAACATCTTTCAACAATTAAGATCAAGCAATCAAATCATTAAGGACAAAAAATATTTTAGTAAATATGCAAATATGCAACAAGTTTGATCTAAATAATGCAGAAATCATATACATTATTTTCAAGCACTCAGGGAATATCTGGAAAAACATAAAATGTCAACGAATTCAAAGATTCTAGATCATCCCTCACTCCCTGACCTATAACCCAATTAAGCTACAAGGATTTTTTAATTAAAATATTTATCAGCAAATTTAAAAGGATACTTCTAAATATTCATAATGAAAATCAGAAAACA